AAACGTCGGTTAACACCACATATAGACGGTGCCAAATCCCAGAAGACTGCTTTTTTCATGTTCTTTTGTCACATTCTACAAAAATCACCTTATATAAGTTACAAGATATTTGTCTCTTCTCGGCAGCTTTGAGAACGGTCCTCGGGCTCACCCAACCGCCTAGACAACGAATACGCCAGGGCGTGGAGCTGACCACTCATCTACATCCTGTTCTGATGTTAAGACTTCCATTCCCCCATACATCTTCTTGGCGCGGTGCTTAATTCAGTGAAGGGACCAATTTTCTTTTACATCAAATGTTGTTGTTGTTGTGGTCTTTTCCACTGTAGTAGTGCGCACAGCCGCCATATTGTTATTTTTGATAGTAAGAAGTTAGAAATGTACACGGATAAGGTTCTGCTACTGACTGTATTTTTTTCGAGCGTCGTGGAAGCACATTGAAATTGTATGGCAGGGGATGAATTCGTTGACGTTGGGATATCATTTTTTTTCTGTGGCTCTACAGCCCCAATTTGGGCCTCGGCCTACCTCCATGAAACTCTCCGTTTCACTTCGGTTTACTAGATCTTACACATTCGGTAGGACTCCTTGGGCGAGTGATCAGCTCGTCGCAAGGCCTCTACCTGTAGACAAACACAGAAAAACGTACGCAAACATCCATACCCTGAGTGGGATTCGAACCCACGATCCCGGCTTCCGAGCGAGCGAAGACAGTGCATGCTTTAGACCGCTCGGCTACCGTGACCGGCTATTGAGATATCATACGCCTGTCTTTTCTTATGAAAGAAGAATAATAGACTATAGACTGTTATAGTCCTGTCATTTTTCAAAACGATAAGGACAAATATCCTATGACGTACAGGTGTATAGGCTTACAGGCTGCACAGAACCAATCCTGACACTTTTTTGTGCGACTGGGAGAACACAAATTGAAAGTACATGAGACAGACTGTTGAAAACACATAGACCCAAGGAGGATGAAATAAGTGGGGTATTTAGGATATTGTCACGTTTTGGGTATGCCACGCGACAAATAACTTCACGTGGGTCTCGGATTTAGCGAATCGTTATTGGACACTCACTCTCACACACCTTACAATTATTATCGCTTTCAGTATCACTTGACTTCTGGCCAAATACTCCAATGCGACGTCTCAACTATCCTTGGCCGTAGTTGGATCTCAACTGTCTCTGGCGGCAGCTGTCCCAAGATTGTCTCGTTCTCAATACTCCGGTACTCCAATACTGCTGTTCAGACAGTCCGTTGTTACGGGAACGCTTCTCATAGAATACGCCGGTAGCATGTTTCGTCTCATCCGTTGTTACTCAACGACAATTCGTTGCTACGATTTGTCGCTGCGGGAACTCCACAATTTCCACTTATTCGTTGTCGTGGAAGTGTCCGTTCCGATTGTAGCGGTTGTCGCGGGACGTAAGATAACGCTTCACAGTATTATAGAACGAGAAACTCTGTGTTTAATACAGGCTGTCTTTGTGTTGTTAGGACAGTGAATTCTGGGAGGTTACGATAGGCTGCACATGTATTTCGGAGGACTAAGATAAGAAATACATAAAGAATTTGGTTGACAACCCATTTGGGTGACAAAAAAGGCGGTAGAAAAGTGACAGTAAGACGGATCTTAGGGAAATTGGTTGTGAAGATTGGAGATGGATACAGTTTACTAATAATTATGGTAACGGGAGTTAGCTGTGTTGATCCTTTGGGTTCTGGCCTCTTAGGGATGGTGATTGTGAGGATGGGAGTGGATGAAACTGGCTTAGGATCGTGTCCAGTCTCTGGATCTTTGTACCGGCGATGTTGGAATCTGGGTTCTGCCATCAGGGACTGAGTCAGCATAACAGGAACGGGGGAGAAGAGGAATGCATATAGGATATTGTGGGAATGCCAGAAGGAAGGAGACCACTGGGAAGATCAAGGCGTAGATGGGTGGACAATATTAAAATGGATCTCAGAGAAATAGAATGGAGTGGTATGGATTTAATTGATCTGTCTCAGGATAGGGACCATTGGAGGGCACTTGTGAACAGGGTAATGGACCTTCGGGTTCCATAAAATGCTGGGAAGTTCATGAGTAGCTGCAGAATTGGCGGCTACTCAAGAAGGGCTCGGCTCCATGAGTAAGTAAGAAAGTAAGTAAGTAAGTAAGTAACACGAATCTTACCAGTAGGACTCGGCCTGTCTGGAACAGTCACACCCGCTGCAATGGCCGAGGGGTGAGGCACCCTTGCCGTGGCCCAAGCTGCATACCATGGACAGTGCTTGTTATCTGCCACAGTGGACTGAGGGTACACGGCAACAAAGGGGCTTCTTCCAGACGCTGCTGCTGCCAAAGCGCCAAAATGGGTCATGAGCCCCAGCCTGAAACAGTTATGTTATAATTCATTATTCTGTTGCATTGGTTAACGATTTAATTTACAGGAGCAGTCTTAAAGTTCCAGATTATTTTCGCTCTCGTAAACTTTCTTTGATCAGTTCTGTGCAAATTTCTTTCAGATATCTCCAATAAATTATTGGCACTGTTTGAGTTCGGGAGGCAGTGGTGGTCAGACCATATGGATAAATTATCCATCAGAATACAATTTTCCCCTTATTTAAACATAGAAAACTACATGTTCGCCCTCAAAGTAATCACTTTTAGCAAATCCCTACAGTACCTATAGTACCCTACCATCTCTAACCTGATCGCTTTAGCATTGCTACACGCTATGTTACGTTGCATCTCGGATTCCTACTAAAAGGGGCTGTTTGTGACTCATCGTATATAAAACTTACTATGCCCCGAAGGGGGGATCAAGAAAATATAAAAATGCCACATAAGGAACCGGAAACAAAATATATGGAATTTGATAACAGCAACTTTTACTGCATCGATTTTACATGCAAGGCGATTCAAAGAAGTCCTTTCCTCAGAGTGGCCCTGACGTCACATAAAGTGCACTTTATTTAATCCCTCTTGTGGGACCTCTTCTGGATATTCACCGCACTGTCGGTTACTTTGCAGGTCCCATCTTCCGTGCTCAGTTTTCCTCAGCATGAATCAATACCGTCTCTCCTGGCTAATTACACCGTCCCATGAAGTGATGCACAATTTCCCCTTCATTATACGTAAGCATATACAGGATGTTTCACGACTTTAGGGCATAACTGCAGGGGTGATTTCCTAGGTCTTTGTGATCAAAAACGTTCATATAAACATGTGTCCGGTTTCGGACGGTTACGGAGTTATGACCGTTTTTCATTCCCGTACACGCCCTCTTGTGAACCGCGTCTATCATCTGGCGGGTCGCTATTTTTAGCCAGCTACAGACAGAGCGTTCTCGTTATCTCGACACTTGAGAGGTACCTAAGGCATGGTGGGTTGGTATGTCCGGCCACGGCTAGTGTAGCGGCTACTGGTGTTCAGAACAGTTCTCATCTCGGTGCGTCTGTTACGTTCACGATGCCATTTACATTTTCATTTGAGGAGTATGCAGATATGATTTATGTGTACGGGTTTTGTGACGGTAACTCAGTTCTTGCCGTAGCTGAATATCAGCAACGGTTTCCGAATCGTAGAATACCGAACCGGAGAGTGTTTACTGGAGTTTACCAGGCATTGCGAGATACCGGTAGACTTCCCGGCGTTCGTATTGCAGCCGAGCGTGGTGTTAATGAAGGCGTCAATGAAGAAGGCATTGTTCGTATGGTACACCGCAGTCCACGTACGAGTACGCGAAGAATTGCCAGCCAGGTCTCCAGACTTAAGTCCACTGGATTATTGTGTGTGGGGATGGAAGAAAGAACTGGTTTACTATGTGAAGGTGGCAACGCGAGATTCTTTGCTCGGTCCCATTCTGGACGCCGCTGACCACATAAGAAACAGCCAGCTGAAGCTGCTACGTGCTACACGCGCGGTTCGCAACCGAACGGCAGCCTGTGTTGCGGCCGGCGGTGGCATTTTCGAAAATCAGCTTTAAGCACGAATAAATTCAAATTAAATGTAGTTTCACGAAGTTAAATTTACATTCATACTTTAAATGTCTCATGTATTATGCTGGTTTATTATTTTGTTCCGTTTATTGTCAGTAATCGTTACCTTCT